CGCTAGTGATCACGGTGATCACAGTCCCAGGACCTCTGTGCGCTCTGAGAGTCCGGCCGTTAAGGCCTAAGGGCACTCCCAAAGCCGGTGGCGATGAGGAAGGGAGTCCTCGCAAACGTCTCTCGCTTGCCGAGGGTCTTGCGCGCGCTAAGGCCTCTAAAGCCGAAGGCGCCAAGCCCTCAAAGAAGCGTACCGCCTCTAAGTCTCCACTCCGCGAGGAGAAGGAGACTCGACGCTCCTATCAGAGTCTCTTCGGCTCCTCGGATGAAGAGGAGGAGAAGGAGGAAGAAGAGGAAGAGGAGGGTGCCATTGTTGAGCCCCGGGAGGTCTCGAATGACCTCGACCAGCAGCAGGAGGATTTCCAAGCTGCCCAGCGTGTGCGTGGGGGTTCGGTGGCGGCACCCGTCAGCCAGGGAGCTGCCATCAACTCAAGAGGGTATTGGCCTCCCGAGGAGAGCTCTGGGGCTGACCTCTTCTTAGAGCTTCTCGTCGCTCCTCGTGGCCTTGTGGGCGGCCACACTTCTAGGGGCATCTATGAACGAGCCCTTGTTCAGAAAGAACAGTTGTTCGTCGACAACGTGGAGGCTGCTCGGTGTGTGCTTCTCGCGCCACACCGCATTCCCCTTAAGGACTTCACGACTTGTCGTAAGAAGCCCGAGACCCGGGGTGGTCTCTATCCTGTTTGGGGATACCCCTGGGTTATGCCCGAGAACTGTCCCACATGGAGTTCTTGTGAGGACATGTTCTGGGCGTGGGTGGAGACTCTCAAGTACTCGCCCACGGAGTTACAGGAACTCCATGAAGATCAGCAGCTGTCCCACATCCTGGACCAGCGTGATCTTCGTGTGAGGTTTGCCCACTTGATCAGCAAGCGTATGCTGCCAAGGGACATCCTGAAGCGCGCGGCTTCTAGCGCTCACGATGAGCGCGGGTACGGTATGTATTCATCATCCGTACCCCGTTCGGGCAAGAAGCCCCGGACTACTTATGAAGCTGCCGCCGCTTCTGTTCCCAGATTGCGACAGCCTTCGGGCAGTCAATCAGGAGCCGTTCAATCGGCTCCCACGAGTTCTCGGAGTGGGCATAACCCCTCCACTTCACGAGGAGCTGTCGCTTCCCGCGACACCGTTGCTCCTGGAGGATCCACTCCACGTGGAAGTGGACTTCTCCATTCCGGTCAAGCAGGGGCGGAGGTGCCCTCGTACGAGTACGAGTACTCGGCGCCTCCCGAGAGCCACTCTCGTTCGAGTGCTCCGACTGCGGGTCCGACACGGGACCCTGAGGTTGACCGCCTCCGTCAACGTCTCCTCGTGCTTGAGATTGCACTTGGCCTTGGGACTGGCGGTAATGCTGCCGCCCAGGCCGGGAATCAGGGCGAGCTCGCTCGTCTTGCGGGTCGCCTGGACCTGGTGGAGCGAGAGGTCGCGAGCCTGCACCTGCGGGTGGACCGCCGGGCCTCTTCGTCCGATCTGGACGAGGCCTTTCGCATGATCCGACGGATCGAGGCTTTGTTGCCACGTCCGGAGCCGCCTGCGGCACACTCCCAGACGTACGCGTATGGTGCGTACCCGGCGTACTCAGCGTACTCGGCGTATGGCGCCGGGGTCCGTTCGTATGGAGCCCCTCCGGCGTACGGTCTTGACCGCAGCCTTGCCGTCCCGACCGAGGCTTGGGTGCCTGCTCCGACGCCCTCGTCGACGACTGTGACCGGCCCTCGCTTCGAGGAGCTGGGTCAAGGGGGGTCTGCGAGTCAGCAAACCCTGCGGGTCAAAGTACCGCTTAAGACGTCCGACATAGAACGTCGGGTGCGTCGTCATTGACTTTGGAAGGTCGATGGTGTACGACGCACCATGTCTGGCCAGGACTGCAAAAGGTCCGATGAAGCGGTGCTTTAGCTTGTGC